CGAACTGCTGATTAGAACACAAATGCTCTAACTGTTGTTTGCCAGTTTAGATCGGGAATATTGACACTGGTTGACGAACGTTCACCGACTGGCTAGGGGCAGCAGTTTAGCATCGCCGACAAGATTTAATGCTCAAAAATATCTATGGGGTACCAAATTGCAATCCCTTAGGGTGGTTTTTACAAACAAAAATGCTTAACTTCCTACGAACTATTCGCTCTCCCCTTATGTTCTAGACACTGCTGTTTGTTACAGGGGTTTTGTGCTTGTCATTTGACAAATTGGTCACACGTTCAAATAATTAGACAATTGTTAGCAATTTAATTTTTGAAGCACCACTCTTACTTTAACCTGACTGGTATTTACTTTGTTCAAAAGCATAGTTGTGTATTGCGTTTTGAATTTCAAGTGTCTTAAAGCTCAATGCTACCGCTTTCTACTGTTCATTTTGTGATGCGACAAAAAAAACCAAGAGAACCCACATTCTCTTTAAATACAATAAAACGGAAATTCAGTCCGTTGAAGTTCAAATAACTTGACTCTTTGCCAAATAGTTTTGTTCCACAATCGACTGGGATGCCTTGACACTTGTATGTACCGGTTTTTGAATTCAGGTCTGTGTTTCTGACCTATAAAAGGTCATGAATCCCTTGCATATGTTGCTTCTGTGCTAAAAGGATTCTTTTATTCGTAAGGGTGGTTTAAAAGGGTCCTTGCAATGGGCTTTCTAAACATTTGAAAGTTTTGCAAAAATTACAGTATATCAGATATTTGTGTCTTTATTTGGAACAGCCTTTCAATTCCGAAACTTTCAAGTTCAGTATTTCGAAAGTATATTAGCAAATCCGAATTTTTACAGAAAAATTTCATATAAGTGTTTTAAAGTAGTTCCCACGGTTTACGTGGCGAAGCTCTTGTTGAATATGAACGGATTTATACATCAAATACAACCGCTTGCTGCAAACGCAAATTTAGACCATTTGATTATTAGCATTAGGAATTGCGTTTACTGTGTCTTTACTCAAAAATTTGCCTACAGCGGCAAGGGAATGTCAAGACAGCGCAACCAACAAATTGCTTTTTGTGACGTCAAGAAGTTTCGGGATTTCCTTCCTTCTAGATACAGCTTGTGCATCTACACGTTGTTTTCAATTTACC